CCGGTGTGGTGTTTTGAGGATGGTGTTCAGGTCCGTGATTGCTGCTAGGATTTGTTCGGCATGTGTGGGTTCTGGTACATGTAGGTGTGATGGGGGAACCATTCGAGGCTGTCAGTAATTCGTGTTTTGCGGGTTTCCCATACCCAAGTGGTGTAACATCGGTAGTGGTTCATGGCTGGGCCGACGTACCAAGCGTCTTTGCCTTTGACTGCCCAGGAACCCCGTTTGCCAGAAGGTTCATGGCACAGCACGCGGATGCCTGCGGGTGCAAGGGGCGTGGCATTGAAGTCAAAGCGGCCGTGGAGGGCCTCATAGGCGGACAGTTTGGGGTTGCGACGGCATGGGCGGAGCATGTTGAGTGTCATTTTCAGCCCGATGGTACTGCGCATCGACAGCGACGCTTCCTACTTAAGCGAACCCAGCGCACGATCAAGAGCCGCGGGGTACTTCTACTGCAGCGATAACGCAGAACCACCACAACCACCACTACGCAACGGACCCATCCTCGTCATCAGCCCCATCCTCAAAATGGTCGTCTCTTCAGCAGCCGAAGCTGAAACAGGCGCCGCCTTCGAATGCGGACAGGAGGGCTGCCCACTACGAACCACACTCGAATATCTAGGACATCCACAACCAGCCACCCCAATGCGCATAGACAACAGGGTAGCCGAAGGCATCATCAATGACACCGTCAAGCAAAAACGCTCCAAGGCCATTGACATGCGCTTCTACTGGCTGCAAGATCGAGTCAACCAAAACCAGTACACAGTCTACTGGCAACCAGGCTCCCTCAACTTAGCCGACTACCCCTCCAAACACCACCCAGCAAAGCACCACCAACGAATGCGACCAACTTACCTGTATGAACCTGACAGCACCCACAGCTCCCCAATGCCTTCCCAAGCCAATCACACCAACAACATCCACATCAACACAACTCCGTACTCCTTGTGCGAGGGTGTGTTAAAGTCCCAGTCCCACTGCGACATTGACCCTTATATCCACCAGAAGCACGTCCCACGAAGCCAACCAGTATGACTGCCCGGCTCGCGGGACCGCTACTTAGATGTAGATCCAGCAGATCCTCTAACGGCAATTACCAATGCTAACCGCCGTTCGGGGACAGAAACCACCAAAGCCAATAGCTCATAATTGTTTCTAACCTCCAGTTAAAACCTTAGAGCTATCGACTTCAATAGTTAGAAAGCAATTCTCAACCACTGATCACCGACCAAACTCGTTGATCCAGCTCTGATCTACATCCCACCACAGCCACACGCACCAACAACAACAAAAGCGCCACCATGGCCGCCACACCGGACCCACTCCAGTCCTTCAAGTACAACACACTCACTCCAATCGTTGGCCAACCAACGCGCAACAGCATCAAAATCCTCGAAAAGGAAAACCGCGACAATGCACGGCTCAATGTTCCACTGTTGTCATCCTGTCGATATACGGTGGCGGTATTAGGACAAGTCGGAAATGTCATCGGCCACTCCTTTTCCACTTACTTCTCCATTGGCAACAGCGGCAGTAGCAGCCGCGGCAGTGGCAGTAGTAGCCATGGGATCTGTCATGGAGGAATCAGGGCTGCCAGATTTCTTGCTCTCTTCAACTACGGTTGGAGGAGTAGGCGCTTGTTTTTTGGTCGCCTGTTGCTGTTGTCGCCCATCCCGCAATTGATTTTGCCGCTCCTGGAATGCTTGTTCGTCAGCTGTGGTTTCTTCCAACAAATTTTCGGCCTCCGTCATCTTGCCAAACTTCATCAAAAGCTCCACCCGTTTCATCTTGGACTTCTGGATTCCACGGTGGACTACTCCCTCGGAGAGCATCTGCTGGGAAAAGGCAATGGACTCAAATGTTGATTGCGTTCCTGGTTGCTCGAAGCCACCGATTGGAAAGAGCCAGGTTGAATTTTGTCTATTTTTGCCAGTGGGTCGGTATGCAAAGAACCCATTGGATCACGAGTATTGTTGGCTTTCGGCTTGCTTGCTTTCGTCAACACCGATTGGCTCAGCATTCAACTCATCCATTCTGCGATCAGCTTCTGTTCGGTGATATGGGGATCAAAACGGGCCACTCGGTCAAGTTGGGAATGCAATTGCGATGATTGAAAGCTTCATTGTTCTCCTCATTGTATAGCTCCACGGCAAAATCAATATAGTGAATCCAGTACGGTGCTCGGCATGGGCCCGACGGTAACAAGCCATGAATTTTCGGCAGCGTCCCGCAAGTAAATTCCAACGGCGACGGAGCTGGTCAGCGACTCGCGCCGTTGTATAGATAGTGTCACCGTCTTCATCAGGTTCAGCCTCTTGGGAGAGCAGTTTGTTGTATTTTGGAGCAACTCGATTCTTCCAGAAATCTCCTCTCTTCATACCGGTGCCCTTCATGCTCTGGGTGCAACTGATGAAGGCACGGCACAATAGTTGATCCTCAAAATCATCAAAATTCGTACCACGCTTGCACTTGGACTTGCCCTCGTCATCAGCGACAGCGGTGGTCTTCTTGACTTTCTTAGTATTGTTGTTGCCGCCTTTGCCGCCTTTGCCGCCTTTGCCGCCTTTGCCGCCTTTGCCGCCTTTGCCGCCTTTGCCGCCTTTGCCAGAACGAGGTCTCTTCCTGGCGGTGGCAGCCTTGGTGGTAACCTTGGTCTTCTGCCGAGGAGATCTCCTCAATGGTTCACTGATTTTATCCATAAGCTTCTGTTTAAGGTCTACAGTGGCGATACTGTCCTCATCATCATCATCATCAGAGTCTTCCTCTTGTTCTTCCTCTCCTTCTTTCAGCGATACCTCCTCTTCCTCTTCTTCCTCGCCAACAAAGGACTCCTCGGCCTCTTCACTAGCCTTCTTCTTGGTGTTGGCCATGGTCTATCAGTGCAGTAACAATAACAATAAAGAACAAAAGGCTGCTAGCGAAATGATGATGAGTTTCGCTAGCTAGCGAAATGAACCAACGAAATGAACCAACGAAATCCAAAACGTTGGTTAGTCGAAACCTTTAGTCGATCGTGGTAGATAACGTTTTTCTTAAAGTTTGTACTAAAATATCGACTAAACTGGATAGTTCGAGATTTAGTCCGTGGAGGGTAGACACCTCCTTGACTAAAGGTTACGGACTAAATCTGCGACTAAACAAGGTGCTAAAGTACTCCTTTAGTCCCTACTTTAGTCGCTTGGGTAGAGAGCGGCCTTAGAGCTATCGACTTCAATATCTGTCACCCTTACTGTCCAAACATTCATGGCGCGGGGGATCCCGTGACGCAAGAAGACCTGCTGGCGTCGATGGAAGCCTCCAAGGCAATCGATCTTCCTTGGAGTGAATGACGCGTACGATTCGAGTCGAGTCCTGGCTCAATCGAATCTTAATTAATTTTTGGGAGCGTTTTCAAACATGCATTAGAGGTCAAAAAAGAGCTCTAATGAATTTTTGAAAACGCTCCCAAAAATGAATTAGGATTCTATTAATCCACGACTCGAATGATTCAATCGACGGTACTGTACCGGTACTTAAGTACGTCTTGAAAGTTGGCCAATATTCTCCCAATGAGCTTGTAGCTGCTAGAGCTAGCTAGCCTGGTACGTTGTTCTTGCTTTGAGGAGGAGAATGATTGAATGAATCAATGAATGAATGAATCCTTTTTGGATAGTTCTCACCCAGTACTTGTGTTTCTTTGTTGAATTTTCTTCTTGGTCGTTTGTGGATCTAAAGGACACCGGAGGTGTAATATATATACCGGGCGAGCTGAATTAAAAGATGGGCCGGCATAATAATACTGTTAAAGTTTGGCTGAAGGTAGTGTCATTAGATTTTTCCGTCTGAGAAAGTGGCGTGGTAGCTTACGGGAGTTTAGAGGTGTGCAACATGAGACGTTAGATTTTTCCGTCTGAGAAAGCGGCGTGGTAGCTTACGGGAGCTTAGAGGTGTGCAACGTGAGACGTTAGATTTTTCCGTCTGAGAAAGTGGCGTGGTAGCTTACGGGAGTTTAGAGGTGTGCAACGTGAGACATAAGATTTTTTCCGTCTGAGAAAGTGGCGTGGTAGCTTACGGGAGTTTAAAGGTGTGCAACGTGAGATGTTAGATTTTCCGTCTGAGAAAGTGGCGTTAGATTTTTCCGTCTGAGAAAGGGGTGTGGTGCTTACAAAGAGTTTAGATGTGCGCAACGTGAGACATTCGATTTTTCCGTCTGAGAAAGTGGCGTGGTAGCTTACGGGAGTTTAGAGGTGTGCAACGTGAGACGTAAGATTTTCCATCTGAGAAAGAGGCATGGTAGCTTACAAGAGTTTAGAGGGTGCAAGGCCAGTCATTAGATTTTTCCATCTGAGAAAGTGGCGTGGTAGCTTACGGAGTTTAGAGGTGTGCAACGTGAGTCATTAGATTTTCCATCTGAGAAAGTGGCGTGGTAGCTTCGGGAGTTTAGAGGTGGGCATCGTGGAAAATATTAGGATCCGTTGCTACCGTATGATTATTATGAGAATGCGTGAGAACGAGGGGGTTGAAGTAAATCTCTAACCCTAAGGATAACCAACCAACCAAACCCACACCACCACAAAAAGGACACCGGAGGTGTAATAGATATACCGGGCGAGCTGCTTAAAATATGGGCAGCATATAATATTGTTGAAGTTTGGCTGAGGTAGTGTCATTAGATTTTTCCGTCTGAGAAAGTGCGTGGTAGCTTACGGGAGCTTAGAGTGTGCAACATGAGACGTTAGATATGAGACGTTAGATTTTTCCGTCTGAGAAAGCGGCGTGGTAGCTTACGGGAGCTTAGAGGTGTGCAACGTGAGACGTTAGATTTTTCCGTCTGAGAAAGTGGCATGGTAGCTAACGGGAGCTTAGAGGTGTGCAAATGTGAGGAAAATATTCAGGATCCGTTGCTATAAAAGAGAATGTGTAAGAAATGTGGGGGCCCAAGAGAGGGGCCTCGGTTTTAGTTAAACTCTAACCCTAAGGATAACCAACCAACCAAAACCAACCAACCACCACCACAATAAACGGGGTCAGAGATCACCGGGGTCTGCCCGGTATATTAAACGGGGTCAGAGATCACCGGGGTCTGCCCGGTATATAATAATCGAATCGAATCAGAAACGAGCTCAAAAGTTGCACATTGCCCAACTCGAAGCGTACAAGGAGGCGGCCAAGAACTCACTGGAGCAATGGATTCAACAACAACAATCACTTCCCACTGTCCTCAAGGGAGAAGCCCAAGCTGCTTTTAGTGCCCGATGCTTGGCACTGGTGAAATCATCATCCACAGTACGACCAAAATGGCAGCTGGATGAGTCCGAATTGGAAAGTTGCATTCAAAAGCATGTGCAGCGACGAGCCAATGAAACATATGCACAACAACAACATACCACTACTGGACACAAGCGGGGACTTTGAGCAGTGATTCGTGTGCTGACGAAGAGGATGGAGAGCTAATCGAGGGGGAAGATGCCGACAACAATACACAGGAGGAAGAAGAGCAAAATGAGGAGGATGACTATGGTGAAGAGGAAGATGGCGAAGAGGGTGAAGTGGAGGATGATGAGGAAATGAGTCAACCGGGGGATGGGAATACCACTACTACTACCACTGCGGAAGCCAACAACAACAATGCCAACAACAACAGCACTGCCAAAACTACTGGAAACAACAATATCAAGAAAAAGAAGCCTCAACAAGGACGGAACACCAAGAAACGTGTCGTCAAACGCAAGTCGGCTATCCAGAAAAAGGGGCCACCGGGAAACCAAAAGGCCACCAACAACAACAATAATAACACTGCTGCCTCCAATACGAAGAAACCCACAACCCGCAAAAAGCCACAGGGCAAAAAGGGAGGTCGAGTTGGCAACAACAAGAATACGTAAAGGAGTGATTGATATTACTGCAAAGATTGAGGTGTGTGCTTTCGGAATGGCAATTGTTCCTTCCATTCAAAGTCCATCCAAGCTTCCTCATTTGTCATAGAACAACAGCGCACATTCAAACCAGGCTGGCAGGAAGAATCATGGGGCATTTCCAGTGGCCTCTCAAAACTAAATTTTAGTTAGGACAACAATCATCTCCTCTTTTTGTACATTTCTTTGGTTGTGGATTTCCATTGTGATTTGATTTCGTGGCTGGGTTTGAACATGACAAGAGGCAAGAGCAAGGATCACACAATGCTGTGCTGGCAACCCTCATGCAAAGAAATGTGGGGGAAATTGTACCATGCCGGTCATGACACCATTGCAGAAGATTTGGTTGAGCCTACACCGTATTAGCTCTGCTACCGTATCCAAACGTTTTGCCGGAGGTCCCACTAGCTAGTAGCAACACTTTCATGAGGTATACCGGAAACCAACAACAAAATCGCTATTGAATGCATGTAAAGGATTCTATGGGAAGTCCTCTTCTGAGAAGAAGACCATGGAGTGTCAGTGCGTTGGGGCCTCCTGTGGACTGGCTTTGGCTCGTTTCGTGGGTGGCAACCATACTATACGGGCAAAAGGGTTGCTTGATATGGCTTTCGGTAAGGCGATTCTAATTAGACTATGTGATGATAGCCGTGGGCGGAACAGGAGGGGCCACCGGAGGATTGCAAGTGATGCAAATTCCCTTGTAGACCAATCCGTTCGTGATGCCCTCCCTTTTGAAGACAGATATTTTGTGGGTCTTGATACCGCAATGGACGCAAAGTCCTTTTCGTTTGGCGATGGATACTCGTTCCTCTTGCGTCAAAGCCGTTCCACTCTTGGCGAAGAGTGGAATTTGACTTGCCTGACTTTTCTGGTGAAGCCTGACCCTGGGCGCACCCGCCTTGTGCATTTTGTGCCTGAATAGGTCGGCCAGGTTCCTGAGCATTCCAACACGCGAAACACCAGAGAAGAGCCATTCACCTTTGGCGATTTCGTTTTCTGTCCCTCCACACCAGAAGTTGCTTCGCTGCCGCCATTGCCTCCGTGCCGAGCGTACCTTGATGGCTTCCTTACTCAAACGAGCCGCCAACACTCGGGCCCCTTTCTCTGCGTTCGGGAAGAACAGCCATCGCGCCGCCAGGACCAACTCACCTGGTAATTCTCTTTGCCTTCGGTCCCTCTGGTGTGCCCTGCTTCGTCGTTTGATTCGTCCTGCATCTTGCTGTTCAAGCACTTTCATTGCGGTTTTCTCGCGTCTGCAAAAAAGCCATCTCGCACTGAGGAATGAGACGTCCACATGCCAGCTCTCGCGTGCTTGACGAAGATGTTCGGACCGACGTGATTGTTGTACCGCCGTCCGCGCCAATAGCTCTCCCAGCACCTTTGTGCCGTCACCCCGGGAAGCCAACCACCTGGTCGTGAAAAGGGCATCGTCTGCAACGTCTTTGGAATAATCCTTTCTGGTCACCAAACGGGCCTGGTGAATCTTGTCGGCATTGGCCACTTGATTGAGGATTCTGTTTCTGGCTTCTTCCGTGGAGCAAAATAGCCATTTGGCGCTCAAAACATCTTGCCCAACTTCGGTTTGCTCGGATTGTATTCTGAACAATTGCAGTGCCCGTTCCCTGCGTTTGCAGGTTTTGTTCATGATTTGCACCAGCATCCGAGAGGCAAGATTGTTGCCATGAAACAGCCACTTGGCGCTCAGGACAGCTTCATCAATCTCCATCAGCTCCCGCTGTTTTTTGTTTCTTGCAGCGATGCGTGCCCTCTGTTCCGAGACTCGTTCCAAGGCACGCTTGCGCCGCCACTTGTCGGCATGCTCCATTGCTTTTCGCTTGTGAATGTGAGCTCGCAAATCGACACGACCAGTTTCAGGGTCTGCAGGTGCTTCCAGCGGTGCCACTGTCCTGGCGCGGCAGTCTGATATGTTGTCCCAAAAGAAATGATTGGAAGGTGTACAGTCGCATTGTGCTCCTGGAGCACCACAGCCATAACAGAATCGAAAACTGATTGATAGAAACACAAAAAAGCAAAGGGTGAGGACGCCAACTCGTGTACAAACTGAAGGAATACGGAGCGGAACTACGCAGACGATCGATTGCACCCACCCACAGAGACATTCCATCATGTCACATCCTCCTTCAACTTTTTCAATGCAAGCGCCACAGCGGGGACAAGGCTTTGTCTGTTCTCGTAACCATTGCAGCGTCAATTCATCGATTGCTTCCATGCTGTTTGTTTCGATTGCTGTCCTGGGTTGAAAGCCACGCCCCAAAATAGACACCACTTCCTTGTCTTCCAGTGTTGCACGGCAAAAAGGACACACCGGAAGAGTTGTTTGGCCAGTAGATTCCACCTTTTCAATCCATTTTTGAAAGCAACCCAGGCAGCTGGAATGGGAACATTTTGACAACTCAAAGAGTTCGACAATGGGTTTGTCCTCGCAGCATAGCGAACACGAGGCAGTCATAATCTTTCTCGCTTCTTCTGGTGGTTCAACAACCGGCATGGTTTCCTTTATGATCTATTTAGCTTGATTCAAACGAAAAGGTTACTGTGTGATAGAGGGCTTTGATGTTTGTGTGGTTCTTGTGGTTCTTGTTGTGGTTTCTTTGGTGCTCGTCCAAAGATCGCAGAAGCTCGAGACGTGGACCGAATCATTCACCCCGTAGCTTCATTGCACGTCTAATCGACAATCGAAGCGAAGGCAAATGGCAGACTGGAATAAGCTTGTGGAGTGGCTTGTTGAGATGTGCTGTACTCTATAGGGCGAGATTTTAGTCAGGGTACCAGGTACCGGTACCTGATAAGTGAGATACTACTCCGGAGTAGTCTAGTACATGTAGCATCATCCGACTCGACTCCTTTACCCTTAGATTTAACTACTATTAATCAATGTGTGAAACTGAAACTTTCTGGCCAACCAATACCATGCCATGGAACGGCTGGACTGGTCTACCGATTTGGCTACAATCAGAGAAACCAGTAAACAGAGGCAAGAAAAGCACCATGCTCAGGAACTCGAATTATCCAGCACGGTGCAATGCAAAACCTTAAATCGTCTCCTAGTAGCGCTAGCATGGGCAACCAGCTCACAAAGCAATGAGTGGCAATACCGGCGGTAGTCTAGGTGCCGTGTGACAATCAAAACAGGTCGCCAGTTCAACTACAAAAACCTCCAAAAGTATTGATTTCCGGTACAGGGACTCGAACCCTGGTATCCTGCGTGAGAGGCAAGTATGCTAACCACCTACATCATACCGGATGAGGATCACATTCCTGTGCTGACAACGATGATCAAATTTGAGCTATATTACTCTTTCTTGTGATGACAGCAACCAGTACGTCAACAGGTATCATATTATGTTAATTGCAGCAGGCACCGGAACGAAGCCAAGACTTGCTTATAGATGCTGCGATAGCTACGCTTGCTAGCAAAGCATTGTTACAGTATTGCAGGAGGGTATTCATATGGCTGGAGGGCGAGAGGATTTATACTAGCTAGTTGAACGGTACCAGTCTACCTACCAATCAACAACATGCCCTCGACCAAAGAGGTGTTGCACTTTTGTCTAAGAAGACGGAGTGCTTTACTGTGCGGGCACCCTGCATCCTCATCCGACGACGCATACGTGGCTTGAATGATAATCCAACGCAAGAGTCCAAAATGAACGCTTTTTGACTGAGGAAATCGATATGTCGCTCAAGGTCAGGTTTGCCTGGTATGTATCTGGGGTCAACCGAATGTATTGTATCTGGATCGAGTCGTCTATGGTTGGACTGTTGGGCTCAATGACTCGACTCCAACCAAAGCACCAACCCATCCAAAGCTACAAGGTTCATCGTAGTTCGCTCAATTGTTGCGTAAGATAGAAGAGTAGACCAGAAGCTGGTACGTGGAGGACTGAGAAACGACCGTTCGTCGAAAGAGCCCAAGTTTTACTCTTCTGCCATGTATGCTATCTAGATATTGTACTCCCCCGCGATGGATCTTATTACTCGATCGGCTACTCGGACTACGCTGCCTCCCCTTCTGGTTGCTGTTGTATTGCTTTGGTTCTTTGCTGTCGTCGTTTCAAAATCATGGGCAATGGCGACAAGACCAGTGACAATGCCGCATTGACCAAATAGGGGAGCGCCCCGGCCCCACGAGACCACGTACAACTCCTGCTAAACAGGGACCCCGAAAGGAGCGGCGTCACAATACGAGCTCCAGCTCGTGTCGATTGGATCATGCCCAAATTGTTGGCTCGTTCGTCGGGCGTGCTCGACGCTGCTGCCACCAATGTAGCCGTGGAGGTATCGGTGACGCCTTGTGCGACGCGAATGAGCAAGTAGAATGCCATGTGAAAGGGATGGGTGCGAATAAGAGAGCTGCCAATCAAACCGGCCGCCAATGTCAGCAATCCCATGGTACAGGAGAGATGCTGTCCCGCTCGTAGGACCAACGGCGGAACGAGGAGTATTTGGGTTGCAATGACAGTGGCGGCACCGGCACTGTACGTGAGACTGAGTTGGGACTGTCCGTATTGCAGAAAACGCGAGGCAAAGAGGGAGTAAATGGCGACACTGAGTGTCAAGGACCATCCGGCCGCCAAGGCGATGATGCGTAGACTGGGTTGGACGTAAAAGTCGGTGTGTTTGTCGTCGTTTGTTTGCGTGGTGGTGGCAACGCTGCTACTGGCGGATTGTTTGTCCTTGTCACCGTCAACTGTAGCAGGTGCTGCTGAAGAAGTCGTTTCTTCGTTGGTTGTTACCGCCTTGGTGCTGGTTGTTGCCACGGTGGAAATGCCCAATACTGTCAATGCAAAAAGCGCGGAACAGGAAAAGACTCCTCGTACGACGGCATATCGATTGGTGATATTAAACCATCGGTAAAGAACGGATTGAACCACTGCCGAAACGATGGGTCCAATGACCAATCCCGTTTGACTGGCCGCACTGACTCGGGAGAGTGCCAATGTTTGTTGTCGTGGCGTTTGTACCAAATCGACGACACCGGCTTGAGCAACGGGAATGGCAGCGGCAAATATTCCTGCGACAAAGCGTGCCGCAATGAGCCACGGAATGGTGGTGGACACGGCAATGACACTGCTCGAGACGGCGGCTCCTATGAGACAGAGTCGGAGTGCCAGTGGTCGTCCCAGACGCGACGATAAGCGTACGAGGAGGGGACAACAGACCATTTGAGCGACGGAAAAGGCACTGGTAGACATTCCCACTTGCACGGGGCTGGCGCCGAGTGACTGCAGATGCAGTGGCAGTGTGGACAAGGCAATGCCTTCGGAGACTATCAATGCCAAGACCGTCAAGAGAATGGGAGTCACCGAAGAAGGCAGCTTGTCGTCATTTTCAGTGACTGGGGAAGCCACAGCTGACCATAAACAGGTGGATGAGTAGCAAGGATGGTACTGTTGGTACCTTGAAAGATGCTGTAATGGAGCCGATTTCTCCAGTGACACTGCAGAGCAGAACTTCGGGTTGCTCTTCCAACAAAATGGAGCCGAGCTGACCGGAGAAGATGAAAACCCAAATGCAGCAGTCCTCCCCAATACAGCAAGTGTCACCAGGACCCAGCATGTACTACTGATACTACTAGTCCGAGCAACCATCTTGCCCATCAGTGATTTCCCGAAGAAGGCAAAAGGTTGCTGTGCCGTTGGGGTTGGCAGCGAAGCTTTCGTTTCTCGCAGCAGCGGTACGTCAGTCAATGGCGGGACTACAATGATCGTGACTACATTGTCCGTTGCAAAGATTGCAAAGATCCTTCACCAGGTGCTGGACCAATGCGACGATTGCGACCAGCCCATTAGAAAATCTCAAGACAACGAACTCTATCTAGCTAGTTGCTGTAGCTATCTATCTATACTCTTCTTCCAAAACACTTGCTTGACTTGACCATGAAATCCCGCGGCAAGTGGTTTGGAAGCAATGCTCTCCTTTTCCTTGCCCTGGCACGCCATGATTCTCTCTGCTGCAAGTTGTGAGACTCATCTTCGAGCGTTTCACCAGAGAGACTTGATGACAAGTGATACACCCTCCTCTTCGTCATCCAGTGACGAAGGAGACTCCTCCGCAGAGACACCAAAGCAAGGAGACTCTGGAAAGGATGATGATCAAACACAAAAGTCTGGAGACGAGGGAAACGATAATGGAGATGAGGATGGATCAGAAAAACCATCCGAGGACTCAGCAGAGTTGGAACAGTTGGAGCAGCTAATTGCCGCTGTCAATGCAGAAGAATCCACTGGCTCGTCTTCTTCTTCTTCTTCTGAGGATAATTCTAGTGAGGACAACTCTTCTGGTGAAAAGGATAAATCGACCTGTTACACCCCAAATTGTTGACGGTTGGAGGAGGTACCGGCCAAGGAATCCGCCTCTTCTTCTGAGGATGATTCTGCTGTCCCTTCTTCTTCTTCTTCTTAGGACTGAGGACTATTGAATTCCAGTGAGGACTATTCTGGCGAGAAGGATAAGGATGATGGCTGGTGCTTGCCCCGTGGTGTGCGTGAAGACGAGCCTAGAGTTGCATGTAGGGCTCAAGTTCGACCTTGGGTCTTCTAATGAAAAGGATAGCTATGATGGGGGTAGTCAGGAGTCCCCCACCATGTATAGCTCCAGATCTAACTCCGTCCGCATGGTGTATGTAGGTATATGAGTGATTGGTTAGTGAAGCTGTTACGCTCAGTATACCTTACATGTAGAAAACTCAGTACAAAGTCAAACAGCCCTGTAGCCTGTAGAGGGCCTACACGTGTACGACCTCCTTACTGGAAGCGATCCCATCCAAACCTGTAGCTAGGCAGCTACGGTAGCAACAAGAGAGCAAAATACTGGCTCTAGCTAGCTACACTAGCAAGCTAGCTAGCTAGCTAGCACTAGTAGTAGCCCAGCTAAGGAAACTTCCTCCCACTCCGATGGTCAAAGCAATGCGGGATTCAAAATTCTCGTGACTAAAGAATCTTTCGAAAAGCAATAAAGATGATCCCTCACCAGATGCTGGACCAATGCGTCGAGTGCCAGATAGGCGAGAGTTTGTAATCCAGAGAAACCGGCAGGAATTCAAAGAGCTGGAAAAGCAGGCATACATCTCATGCAGCCAGAATAGTCTCAAGCTAGTAGATAGCTTCACTCTTCCTTGACTACTAGAGCTGGCTGAACACCATGAAATCCCAAGGTAAATCGTTTCGAAGCAATGCTCTCCTTTTCCTGGCCCTGGCATCCGCCATGATTCTCTCAGTTGGTGGTGAGACTCATCTTCGAGCTTTTCGCCATAGAAACTTGAAGAAGAATGAGAGCGCTACATCCTCTTCTTCTTCGTCTTCCTCCAGTAGCAGTGACAGTGATGACGGAGACTCCACAGAGGCTGCAGAGTCTCCGAAGAATGTGTATTACGATGGCGAGTCACCGAAGTCTGTGTATTATGATGGCGATGGCGATGATATTACATCCGATGCTGTGGGTGGAAATAGTACGGATGATGTTGAAAGTGGAATCTTCGACGAAGGCAACCAAACTGAGGTTGTTGAGCTCGACAGCGAAGATGAGGGGGAGGAAACGGAAGTAGTGGTGGAGAGTGAAGATGAAGCACTGCCATCAGGAGGCAAGTCTGAGTCACAAAAGTTGGGACATGGAGACCCTGATAAGGACGACGATAAAACACAAAGGTCTGGAGATGACAAGGATGACGATCAAACACAAAGGTCTGGAGATGACAAGGATGACGATCAAACACAAAAGTCTGGAGATGACAAGGAAGATGATCAAACACAAAAGTCTGGAGATGACAAGGATGACGATCAAACACAAAGGTCTGGAGATGATGAAGATGAGGTTGGATCGAAAGAACCATCCAACTCAGAGTTGGAACAGTTAGAGCAGCTAATGGCCGCTGCCAACGCAGAGGAATCCACTGACTCTTCTTCTTCCTCCTCCTCTTCTGAGGACAATTCTAGTGACGACTCTTCTGACGATGAGGATAATCGATGCTGGCCCCCAGCTTGTCGCTAGATGATGGACATTTCAGACAGATCTCTTTGGCTATTGAAGCTTATGTTGAAAGCAGCATCAACCACATCCAAATCATTTCACTCCTGTAGAACCCCTTGAATATTTGGATGAGGAATGGGACAATGGTAGTCCTTATGAGGTGCCCAGCGCTGGAAATTGAAAGAGGAAAAGAAAATGTTAGAGTTTGTTATCCAAGTAGTCACCCAGAACTGGGAACTCCGCATTATCTATCATAGCAGGGCCCTCGGGGTCTCGTAGTGGCAATTTCGTCTCCTGGAGACGATTTGCTTTAGGGGTAATGGTACCGATGGGGGCAGAGGTTTGAATTATACCCGGCGCGCATTACTTAGAAGGCCCTGTAGAAGTCTACGTATTCGACTAGTATTGTATTGACGGGATACAGTCAACGCATGTACATGCACATGAAAGTCGCCTTGCGTTCTTCACATTTTAAAAGTTGGCTCCTAATTTTT